GACCCTTCCAAGGTATCATCTTACTGCAGTAACTAACTCCTTAATTAGCAACGCAACACCACCACCTTCCTTCCGTGTCCTGCCTAACTCTAAACACTAGAGTGTTGATTGCCAGTCCTGCCTCTTCCTTAACCACGTCTCTGTGAATGGTAACAACATTGCAATTTCACATGTCAATCCACGGCCTTAACTCATCTGTCTTACCTATAATCTAGCATTAAAGGCTATTCAACACCGCCTTACTCTACCGAAACTCAACATGGCTGACCTCCCTCTGCCTTGGTTCCTTTACTAAAGTGTGCCATGTACCTACTGAACTAACATTGCATCCCCTCCTTCTGGCAAACTAGTTTAAACTCCTCCCAACAGTGCTAGGAAACCCATCTGCAAGGTTAGCGGTCCCATTCTGCGGACTGTCCTGTTTGTACAGGTCCTGCCTTCCCCAGAAATGGTCCCAGTGATGTAGGAATTTAAAACCCTCTGTCCTGCATCAAGTCTTAAGGCACACATTCATCTGCCCTATTGTCCTACTTCTGTAGTCACTAGCATGTGGCACCAGGAGTAGTCCAGAGATTGCAACCTTTTCAGGTCCTGCTCTTCAGTCTACTGCCTAGCTCCTTAGATTCTTGATGAAAGACCTCACCCTACCTATATTGTTGGTACCAACATATACCACAATCTCTGTCTTATTACCGTCCCCCTTCAGGATGTCCTGTAGTCGCTCAGTGTCATCCCTGACCTTGGCAACAGGGAGGCAATACGTCATCCAGGAGTCACATTTCAGGCTTCTTTTACCTTAACTAATGAATCCCCTATTGCTATTGCTCCTGCTTTGTTCTTCTTCCCCTCTTATACAGTCAGGCCGCTTGTGGTACCAGGAACTTGGCTTTGATTGCACTCCCTTGAGGGACAAGCATCCTCATCAGCTTCCAAAATGGAAAACTGATTTGTGAGTGGGACCCCAGGAGACTCCTGCACTACCTGCCTGATTCTCTTTGACTGTCTGGAGGTCACCCATTCCGTTCTCTCCTCCAGTCCCTTGATCTGCAGTGTGACTACCTCTTTAAACATGCTATCCATGTAATTCTCAACTTTGTGGAAATGCCACAGTGTCCCCAGCAGCCACTTGAGCTCCAAAACACAGAGCTCAGGTTTCTGGGAGCACTCCCTGCAAACACGATCATCAAGGACAATGGTAAAGTCCATGACTTCCCACGTATGGCAGGTCACACGTTCCACTCAGCTGACCTCATCTGCTATGTCTTCAACTTGAACTTAATTAGTCTTACTTGCTAAATTTTGTAATTGTCTAAAGACACTCCCTTTACCTTAACTTTAGTCTCATTCTCTTATTCTGATTTATACTTATCCCTGGTGCTTCTCAGTTAATCCATTGATAATCTCCCAGCTCTTGGGCATTGGTCTGCTCGTGCCCTCAATGATCTGTGAAAGCAGTTAAGAAAACAAAACAGCAGGAATCAAGAAAAGCCTCTATTTATGCTTCACCAAACTGCCACACATACCAAAATACTATATTCCGCTCATCGCTGGTAACACGACGCCTGTTTTTATACACTCTGCCTCAGCTGTTTCAGGAACTGGTTTGAACTGTTCAAGCTAATTAGCCCAACCCACTAGGAAAAATTGTTTTTACTCTCTTCAGCCCTAACAGAGACTTAGCAGGCCATCTTTTGAATTAAACCCTCTTAAACAGTTAATGTTATCAAAAAACTAGCAGCAATTAGTATTAAATTCTAAGGCAAGTGATTAACTCTTAAACTCACACACGATTCTATGATATTTACCAAACTGCCACACTCCACTCATTGCTGGTTGCACTATGTAAAACTGTTGAATCATAGTACTAAATCAGCAATCTCTTCAATATGGAAAACACAGCTATATCATTTAGACTGTCGTCGTTAATTTGACTGAAAAACAGAAAATGATGGAAACATTCATTGGGGAAGTCAGTTTTTGAACAGAGAAAGTTGTTAGTATATTGAACAATGTCCTCAGGAATTGAAGATTCAGGCAAACAAGCATAACAACAATGGCTACACTTTAAAATACTGTACCAGCTGTAAACTGCTTTTGGGGCACCTTAGAGCTCCTTCTGTCCTACATATGTTGGCAGCACTGATTTTCAGTCTTTTTTCAAGATGATCTGCAGGGGTCCCCTTAAGGACCACTGGCTAAGTTACTCTATGCCATTAATAATCGCTGGAAAAAGAACAGTAAGAACCAGTTGGGATAGTGAAAATCTTTAATCAGGCCCCTAGTAGAAAATAAGAAATACTTCTGGATCCATTACAATTAATTTCTTCAATAAGATATCTTGATATAGAACAGAAAAATGATAAAAAATTGACACATTTGTAATTGGTCACAGTACGCCAAGTGTCTTCAAACAAAATTCTATTTAAATTAAACCTAGATTCTCTGTTTATCTCTGTACACTGTACTTTTGTCTTCTGACTGAAGCTGGTTTTGCCAATTTATTGAAAAAAAAACTTTTGGCAGCAGATGATAATCTTTACGCTATTTGTGTCATTTACAGATCAGAACTTTGAGATTCTGCTGATGTGCAGAATTGCTGGATTATGTACATCATGGGCACGGAAGCATCAGTAAGGGGATGAAGTATCATCACCATTGAACAAAGACTTCCTGCCATCTTAAAAGATTCTTCATCATCTAAATACAATTTACAATAATAAACCAAGACTGCCACCGCACTCAACACTACAGGATTACAGAGGAATTAAAATTGGACAGGCTTTATCATTGTTGGTTGCTGACCTTCAGATAGCTAAATGTGCAGAGGGTCCTCTATTCTCCTGCATAATCTGACTACACAGTAACATCAGCTTTTTCATTCCTTAGACCTGGCTAACCAAGGCAGCATTCAACAACGTCTTTGGCCTCCTTGCTGCTCACCAACGGTATTGAAATTAGTCTTGATCTTCACTGCGAAGGACACAAGAGGACTGGGAAAAATCTCAACGTACAGGCTGAAATTCACCAACTCACTACTTACTGCAATTGCTCATCCCAAAGCTCTGGCCAGTGCCATTACTTTATTTTACATTGACAACCTTGAGGTAGTGACTCCAAACCTTTCATTATGTCAGAATACATCTGAAAATACAAATAGGAAGATCCTCATAAAAAGACACATTAATATTGAGTTCAATATTTTTTGAGCACCGCCTTCCATGTCTTTTACCCACCCAACATCTGAAGTCCTATCATGACATGGGTTGCTTTCAAAACAGCCAACCCATTTTCACCCACTCATTTTCCTCATAATCACCCATCTTTCTTTTCTTCTTCCCTGGCTTATTATCAACAATCCTTTCTCCTAACACCTTTCCTCTCTTTCTCTGGACTCCATCTCTACCAATCCACTCCCTCCTTTTCCCCCCATTCCCTGTCATCAAGATAAATACCAATGCCATCAGTTCTGAAGATGGGTCACTGGACTCGAAACACTAATCCTGGTTTCTCTCCACAGATGCTGCTGGTTTCTGTTGAGATTTTTTTGAACAGTGCGGAAAGCCGAGAAGACAGCAGAAAGTTCTCAGGAGCAAAATGAAGAATTAAAATGCCAGATGACCAGAAGTTTATGTGTGTGGACTGGGGTGTTCACCAAAGCAATTAGCAATCTATTGAGTGGAATCTAGTAGTTTAAAAAGTATGGTTTAGTGTTCTAGTAGTAGACTGATTGAGGAAGAGGAAGAGGCTGATTAGTTATAGAGCTGGTAGTTGGCACTCTCTATGATAGAGATTATACATTGCCAGAAGCTGAAGATAGATACTGATGTTACAAATAATTTAGCTGAGCCTGAGACAATGGCTGGGAAGACAAACAGAATAAGTGCTGACAGTATACATTTATGGTAAAGTTTAGATGTTGTCTTTGACTTTCACAATCTTTATTTGGTAAAACTGCAGCTCATCCAAGACTGGAAGCTAGAAAAGTAGTTGAACAATGTTCAGATAGTAGAGGAGTCAAGACAGCTGGTGGAGAAGTAGAGTTGAAAGTCATTAGTAGACTTTTGATATTAACCTAATGTCTGTAGGTGATCTAACCAAAAACAGACACAAAAACAAAAAGTAAATGAGGCCAATGATGATTCATTAGTGGACACTGCTAATTATGCACTGGCATGTATACACACTGGTAGTTAAATTAATTTTCCACCTAAGGATTTTATTGTAATGAGCTGTGATCCTTCTACCCAATCCAACTGTTCTGAAATATTAAGATTTTCTCATGTTGTCAACGCTACACTGACATTGCTAGTTCCTATGAGAAAGTGGTAAGGAATCTTTAAGTTGACCAACTGCAATCCTTCTGATGACGATGCTCCTACAATGATGTAAGTTGAGAAATTCTTTAATTGTGACCCAATATTGATAATGGAAATGGTTACATATTGAAAGATGTGAGATTGGGAAAGTAGTGTTCAGAGATAATCGTGTTTCCATTTCTTTCGTGCTTTTGTTCTAGCTGGTGACAGAAGCCATAGCGATATATATGCTTTCAGAATAATTTAGCATGTTACTGCTGGGTATCAGCTAGATAGGTGTGTGAATTGAGTAAGTATTGAGACATTTGAAAGAAATCAAGCAGATTTGTTCTTTTCTAGATAATATTAAACTCCTTGGAGCTGTTGCTGCATTTCATAAAACGTCTGACTTGATTTTTTAACTAACGGTGAAGGAGTTTTGAGGGATCAAGTATTTGATCATAGCCTCTGCTCTTCTCCTTTCTTGTCATTGTTTAAAACTTCAAACATAAATCATGCTGTACCTAAAAAGTGAATAGGTCTAAATGTTAAAGCTTTTTTCATAGCTAATAGGCTTAAGGCTATGAAAATATTGGGTGGTCTTATTCTAAACCATCTCTCAAGCTTTAGCATTCTTTACAATCTTCAGATTAGAATACTGGCAAATGCCAATGTAGAGATTTTCATCCAGAAATCTGTACTTACAATCAGTGTGCCCATTGAAGGTTGTCAGATCAAGTGTAAGTTGGGAATGATACGTAGAACTGAGGGATGTGCTGCATGCTGATCTAACTCTTCGGAATATACCTTTGACAGGGGCTCCAGCTGCATAATACAAGGTAAGAGGTCATTTAATCAGATAGCACGCCACTTAAAAATCTTTGTAGCTTACTCCATTGTTCCATATTCTCAAAATATGATCAAACATTTACACTGATGTTAATCAAAATGGATCAAAGAATGTTGGAATTTTTAAACCATTAATTTTAACACTGTAAATTAAGGAAGGTTACATTTTCTTGAATTATATTTTCTCAATTTGTTGTGTAGATGTTGATATAAATAGTTGATGTGGTACAATTAGCAGTAAATCAAAAAGATATGTGATGTGTTTAAAAGTTTTCCACTGAGATATCACAAAGCAGCTAACAGCAGTCTACAACTTTGATATGAAAATGCTTGTTCAGTTAAGGGAACCACTGATCTGTGAGAATTCTTCCTCACAATTTAATAGAATTGGAACAAAGTAATACATTTAATTTTTCTTCTTCATTCATGGAATATAAATATCTATGATTGGCCCAGCATTTATTGTCCATCTCTAGTTACCCTTGAGAAGATGGTGGCAAGCTGTCTTCATGAACCATTGTAGTTCACCTGTTGTTAGTGAGGAAGATCTTGACCCAGTGACAAGATGGCAATATATTTCCAAGGCAGGTTGGTGAGTAGAACTTGGAAGTGGGGAGGCAAGAGGTGAGTTACACACTGTAAAGTTCCTAGACTCCAACCTGCTGTTGTAGCCTCTGTAGTTATACGGTAAGCCCACTTCAGTTTCCGATTAATGGTAACCCGCAGGAAGTTAATAATGCAGATTTGAATGTCAAGGGGTGATAGTTAGATTCTCTCGTGTTGGAGATGGTCATTGCCTGACACTTGTGTAGCACAAATGCTACTTGCAACTTGTTAGCCCAAAATTGACTTGATCTTGCTGCTGATCTTGCTGCATTTGGACATGGTGTGCTTCAGTACCTGAGGAGTTGTGAATGGTGCTGAACATCGTGCAGTCATTATCAAACATCTCCACCTCTAACTTTATGCTGGGGGAAAGATAATTGATGAAGCAGCTGAAAATGCTGGGCCAAGGACACTACCCTGAGGGACCCCTGCAGAGATGTCCTGGAGCTGAGCTGACTGACCTCCAACAACCATAACCATCTTCCTTTGTGTCACATATGCCTCATAGCTGGCAAATAGATTATGAATCACACCTGGGAAAAAGATTATCAGTCACAAAGATTCATTAATGACAAAGCAAGACTGGACTAAACACAAAGTTGTTCAATTGTGTGGCAATTCCAGTGTGCATTAAGCAGATAATCAGCACAGACGAGTTGTGAAGAAACACCACTTTTAATTTTGCAATTTCTTACATGCATGTGGACCAGACACGTTTTTCTATTTGCCCACCATTAAATATAAACAGGTTTTGCAATAGAAATGTTTCCAATGAGCATGTTATTCCAAGCACTTGAGTGCAGGGTTTTGAAACAAATTGCTTTTAGCGGGTAGCCTGTCCGTACTGAATTCAGCCAGCAGAGAGAATAATGTCAAGGTCTTAACTCCCACGCAGTGAATAAACATATTCTAGGTGCCATATTACCCATGTTCAGTTACACAGCCTTAAAATACTTCCTATTTAATACAAATAGTTGGATAACTTTCCTACCTCTGTAACCTTAACACATGAAAAGTAATAATTAATCACAAATTGGAACTTATGAATCAACTAACGTGATTTGTTGGCCCAGTGCATCAAGGGAATATGTTTCATCCCTAATGACAGTAATAGCTGAATGGTAAACGGAAGCAGATTTCCAGGATACCCTGAGGCTTTTGGAACCGTTCAGTGGAAATGAGAAAATCTAATTGCTGTATAAATGGCATCTGCTATTAAATACAATATGCAGCTTCCCTTAGGTCTTTAGTTAGTTGCCTTATTAACACCTGAAGGGTATGACAGTTTGGTACTGGGAAGATCACATTTGTTTGCCTTTTATATTATTTTCTGCTGGGCAAACCAATTGTTATCGAATGTTTTGCTAGCCATTTAAATCAAATGTTTAAAGGCTGACTAAATAAAAATGATATCAAAATGCTGCTATGTAAAACATTAAATATGTTATGAGAAAGTGATACAATTATGTTTATATGTTACAGTAAAAAAGGTAAACTAATAGTTTATAGCACTTGCATGCTGACCATTGATACCAGCAGTATAATAAATAAAGTATCTATAAAATATTGTCATGGTCACTTAACTGAATTATTTTATTTTGACAAGTGACAATGTTCAGTAAACCAAAAAAAAAGCCTCAAATCAATACCATCTCTACCATAACTAACTACGAATACCTTACTTTAAGTTAAATCAACAAATGCTGTTCTAACTATATCTAAGTAGTAATGAACCGTTACAAGCTATATTTCAACAGCATATATTTCAAGCATTATCTGTTCAAGATATTTTGTCTCAGCCACACATTGTCAGTGAAACTGTAAAGATATTCATACCAGTTCTGTTAGGGTGACCATACTCAGTTGCAATGTAAAACTTTAAAAAGTCTGATGTATAAATTGCTGCACAGGGTTTTTAGTTTTGTTTTATGTTTCTTCATAAAGAGAAGAGTAAGAATCAAACACCAACATGACCTGTCTATGCATGCTATATTGGGAATTGTCTTTGACATTACCAGTGACAGCCTTGAACTTTTCAGACAGATATCAGCCTGTCACCCACAACAACAGTTGAAAAGAGCTGCACACTTCTCCTTAAGGCAAGCCTATAATTCCCTAAGCTCCAATTTCTTTTAATATAAAAGTTGGCTATGCTGTAAGTGAGCACATTCTCTTCAACTGGCAAACGTCACCTCGACAGACACCAGTTTTAAACTTAACACTGTGCATTAATATTTCCTCCATACATAAACAGTTAATTCAAATGCCCTGGTTAGAAAAAGCTGACATACCAGAAATCAAATGTTACAATAGGATCTTTCCTCAAACAACACAAACTATGTGGATGTTGAGTAATTAGAAGTCTTTGCAATTGATGTAGATAACTATTTCAACTATGAGCATCTGTAGGAGTGTCAGAATCAGATCCAGCACCTTGGAATGTCAGCAACAACTGTCCAGATAACCATCTAAATATTGCGGTAGCTGATGAGCTTGAAAACCTTCTAAAACTGTACTGATCATTCTTGAATCAGTGGGTATTGTGCACCTTTAAATGTCGAAGACCTACAAGACTAGAATAACCCTGTATTGAAAATACTGTAACTTTCATGATTTCAGGCACAGTAGAGTCACAAAGAACACTTTAATAATTGGACAGCCATGAATTTGTCTGATAGGCATCTGTTACAACTTTTTGCCAATATTCCACATCCTCTAATACTATCCTCTTGATTAATTTTGCCACAAGAAATAAGCTGTCCCAAGATGTCAAATCATAGGATTTTCTTCACCCTTACCACACATACATTATGCCAATTTGGCATGTTGGGAGTAGGGGAGGGGACAGAAGTCACAAAAAGATAACATTTTTCATTCCTGAGGAAGAGAAAAGGAACAAAACTTAAACATTAATCAATTAAAGAAAGTAACATTAGTAAGGATAAATAGTTTGTCTCTTCGTTGTTATCCTCCAAGTAAGATTTTGTCAAGTTATATTACCTGGTGAGGATGGATCTGAAGATCTAGAATCATAATCCAGAACATCTAGATCAATGTTTCGTATCATTCTGATAAAAAGAAACAGCATCCTTAAGGCGTAAAGATTTATGGCACGGATTAAGCCTGTAAACTTAGTTCTGTTCATGTTATATTTCTTCCTTACCAGTTATTCTGCTGGTCTGAAGGTCTGTTATTATTGCGTTGTTATTATTATTGTTTATTCACTGATGGGTTAATCATAAATTAAACACCTAAATCTATTCACATCCAATGGTTTGAAATAGGCACAACTGAATGTGAACAACACTTTGTATATCTTTTTCAAAGGATCTGTCTTATATCTAAATGATCCATGAAGACAAAAAAATCTAATGGTATTCCTGGTTTGTAAATTAGGATTTTGCAGTCAGTGGCAAACAAGGAACAGAACTGCTTATGCAGATCTTGTAAACTTTGTGGTGTAGTTTTCACCATTTCTGATGACAGTTTTAACCAGGCACCAAGGCAAGAGGATCTCTTGACATGCAGTAGCAGTGAAGTCAGCAAAGCAGGTAGACAGTCAATCACATTGAAATATTCACACAGAGCAAACCAGGAAGTCAACAATACTTAAATTGTTCACTTTTAATTTACATTTTTAGACAAAGAAATTATTTTAATTGGATTTGCATATAGAAAATATAAATGGAAACTTAAATATAAATGGAAACAAACTTCAAAAAAGATTATAAAAATGTGGATTTCTTTCAATCATAGTGAAGAAATGTAACATTGCACAAACATAAAATGAATTTTTCATGGCCAGTGAAGGTATGCAGAGGTTATTATGTTCTTAAAAAAAAACCACCCACACCCACTGAAAATGAATTTGACAATTCCAAATGGTTTGTCCTGGGACAGGTACAACATGCCATGAATTTTCCTGCCTTTGCACACTTGACTCAGGAGTAAAAATCCAAGTCTCTGTTTCATGAAGAAAGAATTTGGTGAGCATGCAGTCACTTAACATGTTCTTTTTTTGTTGCTCAGATAAAGGAACTATTTCAGCTACAAATGACCAACTCCTTCCCCACCCAAGATAGCCTTCCTAGTTCCACAATACGTATGTTCACAAATGTGCATGACTGAGGAACATTGGAATAAGAAAACAATAATTAGCTTCTTTCTCATTTCCAGGTGACTGAGCTACAAGTTTGATATATAATCACCTATGGCTATTGATGTTCCTTAATAACAGAACATAAGTTTATTACACAAAAGAAGCAAAACAAAACAAAATAAACTTGACATATACAGCAATACCTTTTGAACCGGCACTTGCGATAAACAGGCAGAAATTATATACTTTAAATACTGCGAAGTTTACAGTA